ACAGAATCACTCGACCATCTTCATTTAGCTCTGCACTGGCGCTCTGGAAAGACCTGTTCTTTCTAGGGTGACCAGATGTCTCCATTTTATAGGGACAGTCCTGATTTTTGGGTCTTTTTCTTATATAGGCTCCTATTACCCCCCACCCCCATCCCGATTTTTCACATTTGCTGTCTGGTCCCCCTAGTTCTTTCCAGTGTCAGAAGCTGACAGGACTATTTAAAAGCTGGGAAGAGAGGGAAGGCTTCCTGGATGCACATGCAAACAACACAGACTAAGGATTTTATTAACACTGTACTGCTGACCATAACTCACGAATAACGAAGCCCCAAGTGAGCTATAAGGCTGCAGGCAAGGTCTTTTTAAAGTGCATGGAAGGATGTATCCAAAAGAATCATCAGTTTTAGACGCATGAAGTCAGAAACGGATATAAAATTCAACATTCTGGCCTCTTGGTTTTTAAAGTGATAGTAGCAGTCTTTGCTTGCGATTATTTTTTTTCACTAACTGCATGATAAACATACTAAAGTACATATGCTGTAACCTGAGAGGAATATTTGGGAACAGGTCAAAAAGAGCCACAATTCCAAAGGAAGGTGTAACGAGGGGACCCCAAAAATGCAGCTTTTTCACTGGGGAAAAGAACAAGACATGAATGTGAAAAGCAAGTAATTGTCATAGATGATGCTTAAAATTCGATGCCGCAAAGGCCTATAACAGGATCTATAACAATGCACAGACACGCAGGGCTCTTTCGTTAGCCCTGTCTGTTAGCCCCTGAGTGTGTTCTCTGAGCCAGGTTCACAGCATGGACATTGGGAATTAATATTGCTTCATGCCTGAAGTGCAGAAAATAACATGTTCCTTTTGGAAAGAAACTTGCTGTTCAGTCTGGCTCCTCCCCATGGCCATGCTGCCCACTCTTGCCTGCACAGTCTAATAGCCTTACAGCTCATTTGTAGAGGGGAAATTAGGTGATGACCAGAAGGCAGTGAGCATCCTACTTAGTTGCCTTCACACTGCATGTTGCGCTGGATGAATTTCAGTGGTCTTGCTCCCCTCCACATTGCGCAGCAATATACCTGGCATGCTGATGAAAGGCTGAGAGAAATCAGTAAATAAACCCAGGAGTGTTCATAATTGGGAGTTCCCAGATGGGGCCTCCAAACTCTTTCTGATTCTCCCCGTGCTGCCATCAGAAGAAGCAAACCAACCTATCAGGATGAACTGCTAGAATCAACTAAGACTGAACACGGGGAAAGAACTGGGCCCAGGCTGGAAGGGTGTCTGGCCTGCGAAGAAGATTATTAGAACCACATTTAGGGTGAGAACTCACATGTAACCAGTTTCTTTTGTGTATTAAGCTTAGTTTGCGCGATCTGTTTTATTTTCTTAGTAATCAGCCCTGTTCTGTCTGCTACCTCCTTAACTACTTAAAATATATCTGTTATAGTTAATACATTTATTTCTGGTTTATAATACAACCCAGTTTATGTGATTTTTAACTGGGAGGGCGAGAAATCGTGCATACCTTCTTCCACATTGAGGGATGAGGCGAATATAATATATCTTTGCGTCTGTACTCCAAGGGAGGGGGACATCTGAGTGCTGGAGCAAGTCCCTTAAACTGAGTTGTCCCAGAGCTGATCTGCAGCTGGGTGTGGCCCTGCCTCTGCATGTGTTAGAGGAGATTTTAAGAGCCTGGCTCAGCAAGACAGGTTAAAGGGGCCCAGGCTGGCAAAACAGGTAGACTCAGTGGTATCTCAGCACATCAGGTGGCTTCCCAAGGGGTCCAACCCATCACACACATGAGTTCCACTCTGTCTACATCACAAGTTCTCAAAACCCCAAAAAGTTTTTGAGACATTTCTACTCAAATGAAAAAAAGTTTGAAATTTCCTGTGAAAAATAATTGGCATTTTTCACCCAGCTCTCGTGGGGAGGGAAACAAAGGCTCAGAAAAGTGAGATCATTCATTAACTGGTCACTAATCGTAAGTGAAAGAAGTTTGGTATCTATTTAATGGTTGCAGGTTTCAACTGCGTTGCCCCCCCTTCTTGAGAGCAGCCACTAGTAAACACAAAGAGGCAGAACACAACCCCTGTGTCCTATTTTGGTTGAATCAGCAACCAGGAGTTTCACTGTTCACAGTACACAAATAGTCCCATTCTCTCAGGCAGCTGTCTTCTGTGAAATGAAAGTGCAGACATCCACAGTATTACCCTGTGCATATTCACACAGGATCTGCTGTTATAATGATAATGAAGGCAGCTAGGATAATCATCTTAAAGCATAAATACATCCCAGATGCTGACTCACTTTCTCTTGTTCAAATCTCACTTTTGGGAGGTATTTCTTTTTGTACGCCGCTTCCAGTGTGGGTTTGTTGTGTCTGAAAGTAGTAATATTATTCTTTTTTGGTACAGGTCTCCAAGCTGCTTAAATCAATGTGTGTCTTTTCCAGACGCTGTATTCCCTCTAAGTACAGATTATAATTCCTTGAAGTAGCAAATATGATCAAGCCCAGTTCAGACAATGCTGCCACAGCTGCAGCCTCAGAGGTCGCTCAGGTCAGTTTATGCTACTGTGATGTCAACTGCTCGTGTTTCAGTATGGGTCACTTTGTGTTGACTGAGAATTGAAGGGGGATAGAGTCCCCTGGGGAATCAGGATATTTCCTAAGCAGATCACCAGCCCTCACTTTTAACAGGAAACCTCTATATTCTATTCCCTATGAAGCTCCACAAACCTGGTCTACTTATTCCCTCCTCCCTTGGCTCCAAAAACCAAACTTACCCAGCCTAACCAATCTTCATTACATTGTTCATGGCAAGTGGAAAGGAAAAGGCACACAAGCATTGAATGTTGCCCTGTGAAGGCAAACAGACAACTGACAAAGGTCTATTTGCTGGAGGATCCAGAGTAGTTTCAACTGGTCCTAAATAAGCCTATTAGCTCCAGCAGGGACGAATTTGCCCATAACATCCAGCAATGCTATGGCTTAGTCCCACTCCTATTCAGTAAGCCTCAAAAATCTCTTTAGGAATTCTAGCTCTTCCACTATCTTTATTATTCTTATTTATAAAGCTGGGTTCATGGCCAAGAAACTTGAGGAGCTGCTGGTAAATTCGGTAAATTTAAACTACCTGCTATTGGCACTACACTGCAAAAGTATCCCAAAAGGGTATGCAGGAAACACACAAAACCAGGGGTGTGCAAGGTCACACACTGAAAGCCTCTATTCAGCGGCAGTACAGTGTGGGCAGAGATTAACTCCACGTAAAATGAATCACAAACAAACCATAGGGCTCCTGTTAGCACCGGCTCTGCAAGCCATTCCAGAAACGCCTGGGGATAAACTTTCATCATAGTAGGGTTGGCTCAGTTTAGCCACACAATCGTTTTTATTACCACCTTTGCTAATTGCTATTAGGGTGACCAGATGTCCCGATTTTATAGGGACAGTCCCGATTTTGGGGTCTTTTTCTTATATAGGTTCCTATTACCCCCCACCCCCGTCCCGATTTTTCACACTTGCTGTCTGGTCACCCTAATTGCTATAGATGGCCCCTGCCAATGTGCACATGGGGCAGCCCCTCAGACTCCGCTGCAGCCTAGACCTGAGCAACTACCCCTCACGCTGGCTGGATGGCTGCCTCCAGCTTCAAGGGGGCAATGCAGTCCAGCAGCCAACGCCCAGCAAGCATCACGCTAAACGGAGCCTAACTCGGGTTGCCAACTCTGGTGATTTTATCACGAGTCTGGTGATCTTTGATGTTTTCCTTGAAGCCTCAGCTCCTGCAATCACGTGCATAGGTCGGAATCTTAAGGCTTCATTTTTTTTTTTTAACAGTAATATTCTTTCCAGCCCTGGTCATTGCCGAGAAAAAGCTTGAACCCGTGACGCAGGTGCAGCCTAAAATCTCTAAAACCAGAGTGCAACCAAAGTGAACCCCAAATGTTCTATTTTTTTTTTTTTAATTCTTGATTTTTAAGCCACACTTGTGCCTTTTGAGGTGTGCGGTGGTGGCGGAGTGCCGTGCGGGGGGCAGCGGTGGCCAAATCACTGTTAAGAGGACCTAGCAGAGTTGGGATCTGGGTCCAGTGTTCCCTATATTTTGGGTGGCGCAGGGAAAGGTGATGGAGGAGTCGGGGTGGGTGTGGGGGGTTAGCTCCCACTAAGGCCCTGCTAGGGCCCTTTTCTACTAGTGCAGTAACCAGAGCTATTGGTCCCTCTGTCACAGGCACCTGCCCTCCCCTCTCTGCTCCCCCCCGCCCCCCAGTGAGACACTCCCACCCCGACCTCCCCCTTTCTGGAGTGGTACATTCCCACACCTGTCCCCCCATGCTGGGACCTCAGCGCTCCGTTCCCTATCGCGGGGCGACAATGGTATAGTCCATTTCCCAATCCGTCGTCCCCGCGGTAGCCGTGCCGTTGGTCCGCTCCGCGACTGCGCACTGGCGCTGCCCGGAGGCTCTCAGCTGGGTGAGTGTTTACAGCGGCCCGCCGGAGGGCTGAGGAGAGGCGGGCCGGTGGGGGGGGGAACCGCTGCCCCAGCGCCCAGGTAGAGCCCTCGCGCCTGCTCCCCCGGCCGGAAGCGGCCGCTGTCGTTGGGCCGAGCGCTGCAGGCCCCCAACCGCCCTCGCCTCACGGGGGCCCCTCCCCCTCAGGCCCCGGGTGGGGGAGGGGAGCCCGGAGCCCTCCTCCCCTACAGCCCCTTGCTGGGGGGCTGGAGGCCCCCAGTACTCTGCGGTCCCCGCTCAGAGGGGCAGGCCCCCCGAGGCCGTAGTAATGTTAGAGCCCCCCCCCCCCAGCGCCCTCTCATAACATGGCCCTGCTCACCTCGCGACCTGCTGCAGCAGCGACCCTATAATAATACCGGGGGGGGGGGCGGCTGCTGGGGTTCCCTGCACAGTGTGGGAGGCCCCCCCAGGAGAACCTGGCAAACCCGCCCCCCCCTCCAGAAAATTTGTTACCGAGGCCCCCTGTCTCTTCAGGGCTGAGTCTGGCTGCTGAGTTGATCTCTGGTTATTTACATCGCCAGGAGCAATCCTGAGCTGTGGAGTAATGGAGCGGGGACACGGCGCTGTGGGTACGAGGGAGGGCGATGCACAGCCGTATTTCTCACACACACACACACATCAGTGACCTGCATGGGGTCTTGTGGTGGCAGGAACAATGGGGTGCGGAGTGAGTGTTTTGGGGAGGGTTATTGGAGGATCAGTGAGAGGGGAGTCACTCAGTCCCAGTGTAGCTCCCTTTTATTATTCATTGCTAAGTGTGCTGTGGAGTCTGTGGCAGTTGTCAAAAAGCTGAGTTTACCTGTCTCGTGTTTCTTTGTGAGCTTACAAACCGTGCATTTAACTCTATTTGTTTTGTAATCAATCATTAAAATATCATTGTTTGTTCCTGGAATATGAACATGGTAAACTTCTTTTTCTCAGAAGAGGTGAGCATGGCACCATATAAATAGTGGGTGGCATAACCATTCCTGGAGTGTTCACAACTCATAACTACACTGTGTTCTGATAGTGATCATAATTGTGGCATGCACACTCTAGAGTAATGCCTGGACCTATAGAGAAGTCTGTACTCTGCACAGGAACTGCAAACGAGTGCAACTAGAGTATTAAAAGATGTGTGTGTGGGGGGGGTACCTTTGATTATAGCTAGCAGGTTAGGAAAACAGATGTGTAACTATTGGAAAAGAGAAGTTTAAATGGGGTATGTTTAAAATTCTGCATGTAAAGCAGATGTTTTCCACAAAATGAAGACCAGTCTGTGCTACAGAAATAACCATTTAAAAGTCTCCTCTACACTACCAGTATAACTTAGAGGACCCTGTTACAACTTGGTTGTCCCCTGACTGGGTTACAAAATGACTGTTGCTTGTAGTGTGGATGAGAACTGTTGATGTCCCCATAACTGGGCTAAAGCCTGGTCAGAGGACAACAAAGTCTTGATTTCATGATGGTTTTTAGTGTATAATGGACCATAAAGCCACAACTCTGAAACACAGTTGTGGTGCTTGTGTGCACAAGAAGCAAGAAAGAAGTTTGTTTAACCTTGTCAGGGAGCCACAGCAGAGCCCAGGTAGGGCCACAACCATACTTCACAATTGTATTTAAACATGGAGATTTTAATAGTGTAAAGAGGGCCTGAATGGAGGGGAAGGAGATAAACATACTCAAGAAAATAGTGTGCGCAAACAAACGTCAAGAAAAACAAGGTCTTAAGGGATGGAAGGAATTTTCTACACACAATAATTAATCTGTGTAGTATACTACCCAAAGGCACCAACCAAACTATAATCAAGCAGTCACAAGAAATTGATAGGTATTTAAGAAGAAAACAAAATTGCAGGATAAGACTGGCTGATGTACATATTCTAGATTCCGGGCACTCTCACTAGCAATATAGTGTAATGTTTTTGTTTTTTTTTTAACTGTGGTGAAAAAGGGATGGTAGACGATTCCTGTTACCTGCCAAAGGGGGGGAAATATCCAAGACACTACTAATGGATTAGTATACTTGGAGGCATACATTTATTAAACAGGCTAAAGGTCCTTCCTAAGAACTTGAGTGAAGTTCATCATGCCTCATATGTTTGCAAACAGACAGGACAGTGCTCTCTGAGAATACATGTGTTGAAATTTTCTTGCTGCAATTTCTTCTTTGTTTCTTTTGCAACTGGTAAAGTATGTAATTTTTCTCTTGCTGAATGTATAGAACAATTTAGCTGTGGGCAGATCTGCTGAATCTAGAAAACAACACTAAAGCTGCTGCTTCTGCAGTTATTGTTAGTACAGCACAGCAAAGCACTGCAAATAAAAATTTGCATTGTACTTTCTGGAATGGAACTTTTTAGTGGGTGGGAAACAACTAGATTAATTTGGAATTATAAATTAAGTGCTTTCCCTCTGTAACTCATTCTTTAAAAGATGAAGATGTACTTTATAAACTGTCTCTCCTAAATAGAGAGTAAGTGGTTTGCTTTCTTTTCTCAGAATGAATTGTGAGTCTGTAAAAGTGATATCAGCAGTGTCATTATTTTGTAAGGGCCGGATGGAGCTGAAATAGTTTCTGAGGGGGATGATCTCACTTGTCTCTTAGAAGAGACAATGAGAAATTGAACTCACTTCAGAGGAAATTTCTTTCCAACAGTTGCTCTCTATTCTATTGCATTCTCCACTGAAGGTGATGCTTGGAGCTGCAGAAGCTTGAGCCACAAGAAAGTATGTATTCTATTGAGGTGGTGGATATATTTTTCCCCCCTCCACTTCTGCCTGTGCCTCTTGATTATCATCATCATCTTTTTTTTTGTAATGTATGTCCATGGACTTAGCATCCTGTTATATTTTCTTTCACCCTTCACTGCAGGCAATTTGGGAGGCTCCCTGGTTCTTTTTTCTACCTGTTTCTTTTGAAGTCTATTAACCCCCTTCTGGTTTTATTGCAAACAGGGAATCTGGATGTTCCTTTAATTTTGGCCAACGCAGGCCATATTTTTATTACTTATTTTTTATTATTCTTGCTTGGACTCCGTAGTGGAAAAGAGACAATGAATAAGAATGGGAACCAGAACCCATAATCTTATTTAGCAATTCAAGTGGAAACAGTAACTGACATAGTGGTAAAAAGCTGGTGTCACTGGAGGAGGGTATTATACAACTAAAAATGTGAATATTATATTATGACCTTCCTACCCCCCACCCCAAAACATGTATGTAATTCTGAAACTCCAGGTACATGATTTTGTTTTTAATATTTGATGATCTTTTTATAATAAAGTCCGCTTTTGAATATACGTTCTGTTCTAGTGTTTTTACATTGATATCTTTGCAAAGGAGTTGTCTTATTTTTAGGATTTAAAGTTGTTTTATGTTCAACAGCCTTAGCGTTTATAATGATGTTAAATGTCTTGCTCATCTTCCCCACCCCAATTTAGTTTTAGAACTTGCTAAAAATTGTTGAAGAAGATGGGAGGTGCAGTGAGTGCAGGAGAAGATAATGATGAGTTAATCGACAATCTGAAAGAAGCGCAGTATATCCGAACAGAGCTGGTGGAGCAAGCATTCCGTGCCATTGATCGAGCCGACTACTATCTTGATGATTTTAAGGACAATGCTTACAAAGACTTGGCGTGGAAACATGGAAATTTTCATCTCTCTGCACCGTGCATTTACTCTGAGGTGATGGAAGCTTTGGATCTACAGCCGGGACTGTCGTTCTTGAATCTGGGCAGTGGCACCGGTTACCTGAGTTCTATGATTGGACTCATCTTGGGTAAATACCTTTTGTCAAGTTAATTATTGATTACATTATCTTCTATTTTCATGTTAGGAGGAAACATTCCTCTCTCTAATTTCAAGATTTTAAATTCGGTCTAAGTGCAGATAAAGAATATGTTAATCAGACTTGGCCAATTAAGCAGGATTCAGGGGAACCTAGTGATGACTCAGAACAGACAATGATGCAGTGCACAGCTGATTGTCATGGCCTCCTACTGACAGGAGTGTAGGCTTGTTGGACTCTCACTTAAGGAGAAGATCAGTGTCAGGAGTGGAGACAGAGAAGTTTGTGTGGGATGGTGATTGAGTTTGACCAGGGAAGGGCCCTGAATCTGTGCCCATTTATTCTTAATCCCCCACAACCAGCCTGAAATACGTTTAAAGGGTCTGATTGTGATCTCATACTGGTGTTACTGCTGATTTATACCAGTGTCAGGTCAGAACCTGGTATCTAGTTCTAGTTACTTCCAGAGTGCAAGCAAGGTGATGCTTCAAAATACAATTTAGCAAATAGTCTTATGTCTTAATATAAGAACAGTGGCGGTGGTTTCCCACAGTTAGCAACCTTTTTTTCCCCTTGCCTTCCTCCAAACAAACACACAGGAGTAAATGTGTAAGTAGAATAGCTCTTCTAGGATGTAAACGTGTGGCTTATCATACAGAATATGAAAATGCAGCAAATCACCTCTCATTCTCATGGTGGTAATAATCACTCTGTGTGGAGAACTGTCAAAATAAATTTCAAACTGCATTGATTCTAGTGAAATCCAAAGTCAGTGCTTACACACTGCTTCTGACTTCTAGTACAGCTACTAATAGCAGGAGGGGCCCCGTTACTCTCCTGCCTGTGGGTCGGAAATTTTAATTGTTTAAATATTTGTGTCATCGGAGCTGAGTCTTAGTCGCACTTCCAGTGAGTGGGCATGAAGCTGGAACTTATTTATTGGTTTACAGTAAGCTTTGACAAAGCTAATTAGAATATGAACACTTATAACTTTAGGTGCCTTTGAACTATTTCTCCCTTAAAATTAGCAAGCCTGTCTCATCAAAATAATAGAGGGGTTTGTGTAGCCTTAGTTATAATGTAAATATGGCTATTGTCTTCAGTGCCTAATACCAGGACTTTTAAACTGTGCATAACTGTAATTCTGCAACAATTTCCTTTCAAATATTTGAAGGCAAATTGCCATATTATGTATTTTTCTTTGTTACGTTTAATCATGTTATGTAAAGTCACATGACATAACTGGATTGAACTTGTTATGACATTAAACAAGGATTCAGTTTGTCAAAATATGTAGGTCACAGGGACTGTTCTGTTTCTAATTCAGAGAGTCAAACTCTTCAAAACAAAACAAAAAATAATCAATCAAAGATTAATTCCCTAAACTATTAGAATCTTCTGAAGGCTATGGTACTTCGTCTTTTGTCCTCTGGTAGAATTTAGACTCCCAGCACTTCAGAAGAACCAGAATATTGCTAACCATTATTGCCTCTGTAGTAACTTCTGGAATGCCAAAGGTGTTATAAGCCCTGTTCAGATTCCTGTAATGTTCAAGTTCTTTCAGGTGTAACACAGAATAATAAATCTTACTCATGGCATACTAAGTAAGTGTCTTTTCCTTGTTTTTATGGAACTCAGCTGCACTCGTAGTATTACTCTAATATATTAAAGTTACAGTTCAAAGGGATGTTTCCAACATATTAACCATATTTAGTCTGAAATTTTTTACCTATTGTTACTTACTAGTAACATCTAAAGATTATTATAACTGAAAAATAAAACATAAACATCTTTAATTTTGTGGGAACTGTTGCATTTGGCAACACATCTTGTGGTGTTTTTAAGCCAACCTGCTTTCCCTTGTTGAAAAGACCCTTATAAATATGCTAATACGAGCAGAAAAATCATTCTAAAACATTTTAAAAGATTTTTTTTTTTTTAAAGTTCAGGATAGATCTTTTAAGGGTTGCTCTGTCAGAAGCTCGAACTTTTATATATTACTCAATTAAATATAATGCAAGCACTGTTCCTATAATAGTAATGAGTCTGATTTCTAGAGCCCGTTAAAATTACCATGTGAATTGTAACTCTTGCCGATTTTTGGTCACTTCCCATAGCAATAATCTTTAGTGATTTATAGTGGATTCTTTGTGTTCTATAGCAGTGGTACATCTGAGACATCAGCATTCCTACCTCACCATTTCCTGTGTAAGTAGGAGCACACTAGTCACAAAAGATTGCTGCACATCAAGGCACTAGCCATCGCTAATAGTAAATGGTCCTGCACTTCTAAGTGCAGACCTCAAAACAAAAATTTTAAATCGTAGAAACATTCTTAAGGAGTGGTTTATCTGAAACACGTTGAGAAAGGAACAGGGATCGGTTGTGCTTGGCTTTATCCAGTTGCCCTTAAAACCATTTTCTTTGCACTCTTCAAACTTGCAGGTCCTTTTGGTGTTAACCATGGTGTGGAGCTTCACTCTGATGTTATAGAGTATGCAAAGCAGAAATTGGACATCTTCATCAGAACAAGTGACAGCTTTGACAAGTAAGAGTCGAGAACACCTGTGGCATCCTACTTCATGATGTGGAATTTAATAATTATCACTACAGAACTACTAGTTCTTTGGGTAGCTCCCCCTATTCCCACACACAAACTGCAGATTTAAGGGTGATTTTAGGACACTGGCTCCTTAGGCTTGCTGAGCTGCAGTGTGTGACGATATTTTAAGCTGACGGGTAAGTGGAAGGAGAGAGGGTAAGTAATTTTTGCTATGTTGTTGTGCTCTTAGCTGTTCTAATGCCACACAGGTTAAAAGAAGCCAAAATCGGTTATTGGCAATAAGATTTAATTACAGCCAATATATTTGAGGCTGCAAATGGTGATAGCCATCTATCTAAAAAATTATATTTGTGACCTCTCAGCTTGAATCCCACCAAAGAGTGTAAAGTAATTTCCATGCTGCTCTAATACGGTTTTACTGGAAGAAAAACTTTATTGGTTAAAATGTGAAGCTATTTTTATGATGACTAAGTCAGTACTAAAGCTGCTTGGAATCTGATTTATGTTCTTCCTTGCAACTTTCACTCCGCTGCTGTCACAGCTAATAATTTTCTGCAATTTTCTATAACCAGAAGTTACCTTAGCAATACAAGTTGTAGCTCTCACCTTTTTGGATTTATTTTGCAATTTGTTTGTGGGAAGAAACGCTTCTGACCACCTGGAACGGTCACAATGCTAGAATGAATAAAATGGGTATAGCAGTCTTTAAACAAGAAAAGCTGAATCATAGAATATCAGGGTTGGAAGGGACCTTAGGAGGTCATCCAGTCCAACCCCCTGCTCAAAACAGGACCAATCACCAGACAGATTTTTGCCCCAGATCCCTAAATGGCCCCCTTAAGGATTGAGGATTTAGGAGGCCAATGCGCAAACCACTGAGCTATCGCTCCCCCTCTGCAGCCACTTCACCAATCGTACACTGTTGTCACTACACTGAGAAGCTGATGGTTCAGTAGGGAAGAGGTAACCCCCCTTAGCATGCAATTTTTTGTTGTAAGCAGAGAGGCAAGAGTTCCTGTGAATAGGCAACCAGTCCCCTTCATTGCTAAAATAAATAAGCCTATTGTTGTTGTTCTCATGCCATCTCACTTTGCAGAAATGCAATTACTGTAGCTTAATGGCAAAGACCAGCGTAAGTAGAAAGTTTCATATCTGGAGACCTGTTTGAAAAAAATCAGGGACACTGCAGTGCAAGTACAAAAGGAGTGGGGGTTATGACACTATTAAAGATGGTGTCATTTAGATGAGATCCTTGCCCATCTGTGGTATATAGAAACTGGTATATCTTACTGAAACTATATCAAAAAGAATAGGTGGTCTAGTGTCTGATCAAAATCTTTTTAATAAAACTGTCCTAATAGCCAAGTCTTATTTACAAACTACTGATGAGTTGATAACAGTGCAGCAATTATGTTGGCAAACAAATTGCCCAATAATTCATTGTTTGTAAAATGCTTTGGGGTACCTGAAGTCAGAAAAATAGTATATAAAACCACCCTGCTCTACAGCTGACCAATTTGTACTTCAGAGATTAATACTGTCATAGATAAGAAAAAAGATTATTATAGTCTTCGTGAATTCTGGCCATTCTGCAAAAACAGAAATTAGCATAAAATTGTTTTTCTCTCAAACTACATCAGAAGTACTGTATTGCAAGAATTTTTGTCGAAACTATGAATTTGCAGTGAAATCCTGGCTCAATTGAAATTGATGGTAAAACTCCCATTGACTTCAATGGAGGCAGCATCTCACTCTTAGTGTTGAAACCCATTTAGCAGTTTATGGGAAAGGTTATGGAAAACTAAGCCAAAGACATTCTGGTTCAGTCTTAAAAGAGCTTAGAGTTCAAATTGCACTTGTAATATTTATGCACAGATATTGTAACTGGGCCCACAAATCAGGTAATTGTATGACAAATCCCAATCCTGATAATTTGCGTAAGCAGTTATTCAGTGTATATGTTCAGATTATGCACCTAGAATCTTTGGAAAATCTCATGTATGAGTAATTTCAGAATCACTCTAGCCTGGAGGGCCTCAAATTGTGGCCCTTTCTGGTAGTCTGTAGAATGAAACTTTTTGAGATCCAGGAAATTGGGGCTTGGGAGGGGAAATGGGCAGTGAAATTTCTTTTCTTATCAAGTTTGGAGTGTTATAATTGGACCTCTTCTTTTTCAGATTTGAATTCTGTGAGCCCTCCTTTGTTACTGGCAATTGTTTAGAGATCTCTCCAGATTCTACTCAGTATGACCGTGTTTACTGTGGTGCTGGGGTACAGAGAGAACATGAGGACTACATGAAGAGTCTGCTGAAAGTTGGGGGAATTCTCGTCATGCCACTCGAGGAAAAGGTTGAGTGCCTCTTTACCTATGATTTTGATTTCTTTATTCTTATTTAGCCTATAGGTGCAGTTCACTACTTTCCTTATAGGCAACTATTTGGCATATCAGCTCTTACACTAAGTTTTTACTAGGAATAAAGAGAGCAGTTTCCAGAAACTTAACTATATGTGTCTTAATTATATGTTACAAAGTATGCATATTTCTACCGGACAGTCCTTCTTCAGGTCTTTTGTATTTAATTTTGTAGTGAATTGTGAAAGGTATTCCAAGTTAGTTTCACACTTCATTGTTGTACTTCTTCAAGAATGTTTCAGTCAAAGTTTGTTGGAGTGAGGTACCATACCACTTTGTGCTTTCCAGTGGTAAATTAGACGGTCCATAAAAAGTGTTTCATAGTAAGTACAGTATGTAGAAAAGGAAGGTAGTGGTGCAGGGTTGGGCTGCGTTGTAACTATGTGAATCTTACATCTCTTGATATCTTTCATTTGAGGCTTGGAGAGGGAGAAAATTGATTTCAGATTAGCTTGAATTTCTGATTGTAAACTACTTCATAAATAGATTTTGCAAGTGTATAGTGCAGTGTCTTGTTATATTTACTGTAACCGGAAAAGAATTTTTAAATTATAAGTCAAGAATACTTAATGCTTGATCATTTCTTTAAGTGTTTAAGAGTCAGCTGCGCAAACTGTCCTCTAAAGGGGCATCCAAAATACCAACATTCATGAGTGCCAGTGAGCACTTTGTGCACACAAATTGGGTAATTTCTGTGTATATGAAAATACAAATACATCTAACTTATACATGTAAATATTACAGGTATTAGGAAAGTCAGTTGAAAATTTGAACCAAGGAGTTAAAGATTAGCTAAAACTTTCTTTCACTATTAAAAAAAAAATATTTTCTGCAAGAATAAATCTGGGTTTAGTTTTTTTTTTTTTTTTTTTTTTTTTTCTACTTATCCCTTACACTGTTGAAGTGTTCTCCAGCAGGAAATTTGTTCAGAGTTCCAGATACAACCAGTGAAAATTGGGCAAGAAAAAGTGGCAGCTTACTTTGCCAAACAGGAAGCATTCAAAATAGTTGTAAGTCATAGGTTAAATAAACAGAGTCCAACAGCCTGTAGCAAAAATTGCTACTGATATAAAAAGAGCTTTCTCGGCCTACCCTCTTTATACTGTAGAAAACTAACAAGACAGTTATTAGACTACTGTTACCTTATCTGTGTGCTTCTGCCTTTTGTGGCAGCAACACTCTATGGACTCTACTTTTCCTAGGATTGTGGTGCTGTTATTTACTGGCCCAACAGGTCAGTTACCAATTTTTCTAATGATCTGCCATTTTTAATAGTATGCCACAGGTCACTGTTGATTTGAAACTCTGAATAACCATGCCCAAACTTTCTAAACAAATATATCTTCATAATTCTGGCATCTCTTGTAAGTAAAGATATATTGTTTCACGGGACTGCTTGGTTTAGGATTGGAAGTGACATATGGAACCTTTCATCTCTAGGTACAGTAGTTAGTTTTGGTCAGCAGCTCACAGAAATTATTACCATTCAGAGGCTGTTAGGTCACCTACAATATGTAAAATTAATTGGTGATCCCGTTCACAAAGCAAAACCTACCAATATTCTTTGCAATAACTTTCAGCCAAGGAATGAATGTCTATTGAAGATTGAATTAACCTCTGAACTCTGAGGTAGCCCCTATAGTTCAGAATGGGGAGAAATTGGGAGGGCAGTGTGATGAAATCTGTTATTGCCACTGTACATGTTCTATGGTTAGACAACTTCGTCCATTAGGGCTGTAAATCTGGTTCTCTTCGTGAGTTCTAAATTCACTCTTTAAAGAAAGAATTATGATGAACCTGTGTGTTACTTGGCTTTTCATCTTGTCACCACTAATTCTGTGTATTTCGAACACTTTGCCTGAAATCCAAAAGGCAAACAGTAGATTGTTCATTCTCTGCATAAAAAATTAACTATAGATAACTGATTTCTACTGTTTACATAGTAGACAGCACTTTCTCTTTTTGATGCAGCTGACGAAGATCACGCGCACTGGTCCTGCTGCCTGGGAAACCAAGAAGATCCTTGCTGTTTCTTTTGCTCCTCTGATTCAACCCATTCATGCAGATTCAGGGAAATCGAGACTTGTTCACTTGCGTAAGTATAAATGTTTATAGGTACGTTTGCTCCTCTTTCTGTTGTCCCTTTGGCTGTTAGTTTCACCTTGATCCAAACATGGTACTCATACACAGAGGAAGTGCAGCTTCCTTCTTCTGGTGAAAACTACGCAAGCTGTTTCATTCTTTTGACAGTTGTCCAATTTTGTCCATTCTATGCTGGTTACCAGTTTTTCTGTATTTGAAGAGGTGTGGTATTAGGAAAGCAATTTGCAAAATAAATCCAGAAATGTTAGTGTCTGCTCTGTGAAATTGAAAGTGCATATCTTTGAATTTTAAAATAATCTGCCTGCATTTTCAGTTTCCCGTTTCAGACTGTACTGCCTTGCCCATGTAGATTCTTACATCGCATTTTATAGTATTAAGGGAATATATTGCAAAGTGAAAAATGCACACAGCATTTGTTTTAGATGTGATATATATCAATTTATATCCATAGCATGGCTGTGCAGAGTTTCTTTCAAACATGATACCCTTCAGGAGGGAGTTACAAATAAAAATAATGCATTGCAGGTAGTGCCCAGTGATCCCAATCTAGATTGAGGCTCCATTGTGCAAGGTCCTGTACAAACACATAAGAACACATGGTCCCTGCCCTCAAGAAATTACTACTTAATCTGTTTTTATTCTTATATGATATCTGCTTATCTCACCGTACAGAGCATATTAACTGTCCATCTGAGCATACTTGCATATTGTGTCCACTATGAGGAAGCCTGCAAGTATTTCGTACTTTATTTCCCCCCCTTCTTTGCTCAGAAGAATGTCTGTAACTGTTTTTAATCCATAATGGAACAGTTTTTTCAATTTAATTTGATGCTTCTCAGTGCAGGGATAGATATATGCAAATACAGGTTTTATTTATATTACGTGAGAGCCATGGAATTGTGCAGTAGTGTTGACTCTTGCACACCTTGGATTGACTGAATAGTGCTGCACAAAAGAATGTAGAGTCCTCTAAACCAGTGGTTCTCAACCTTTCCAGACTACTATACCGCGTTCAGGAGTCTGATTTGTCTTGTGTACTCCCAAGTTTCACCTCACTTAAAAACTACTTGCTTACAAAAGCAAACATAAAAATACATTTTTAACCATATCATTATAAAATTAATTGGAATATAAATATTGTACTTACATTTCAGTGTATAGGCTGTAGAGCAGTATAAACAAGTCATTGTCTGTATGAAACAGTGCTTTTTATGTAGCCTGTTGTAAAACTATGCAAATATCTAGATGAGTTGATGTAGCCCTGGAAGTCCTCTGCGTAGCCCCAGGGGTACACGTACCCTTGGTTGAGAACTGCTTCTCGAAACCACTGAAGAGGGTGAGTATGTACCATATATAATACAGTCACATGCTTCTAACTCCTTCTATCCACAGATCTTGAAACAGATTTCATATGCTAATGATGTTAGTCTACACCTTTTGAAGTAAAAAAGTATTGATGAGGAAACTGACAAAAGTTAAGTGATTTGCCCAAAGTCACGAAATTAATCCGCAGCAGAGCTGGGAGTAGAATCTAGATCTACTCACTTTGTCTTGCGCATTGAGGACTGTTTCCACACTACTGAGAAGTCCGGAAACAAACTTCTCCACGTTATTGTACAATCTGAATTGCAAAGTCTTAAGATTTAAAACTTAAAACACGGTAACATAAAATAGTTCCTTGATCATTCGAGTATAACATACCAAAATGCTATTTTAAATATTTCATTCAGCGTCTACTGATTTGTGTTTTGTGCACAGTGTGGGTTTGTGCATTTGAACTTTTTCTCTTGACTCCTTCTCTTAGTGATCAGATTATGGGAGAAGTGCATAACACAACATGTTTTTTGGGGGAAAGCATTAAGTTTATCTGAGTTGACAGACTGAAATAAAGTTGTTGTTGTTTTTGTTTTTTATAAACATAACAGGGAATTGAAATAGTTATCCTCACTCCGTTTCAGACAACTCTTCAGCCTGTACTTCCAGATTTTTTGCTTCCATATCTGTTCATATTTTCATTCTGTGTTATAGCACCAATAACTGTCCGCAGCCTACAGGATCTGGCTCGCATTGCCATCCGAGGAACTATTAAGAGGATAATACATCAAGAAACAATGAGCAAAAATGGAAATGGTCTGAAAAACCCTCCAAGGTTTAAACGAAGACGTGTTCGCCGCCGTCGCATGGAAACCATTGTCTTCTTAGATAAAGAAGTCTTTGCCAGTCGTATCTCAAACCCTTCAGATGATAACAACAACTGTGAGGAGATTGAGGAGGAGAGGCGAGAAGAGGAGGAAAAGAGTATCTCTGAACTGAAGCCAGACCCCCCTGTAAACTTTCTGAGAGAGAAGGTCTTGAGTCTGCCTTTGCCTGATCCCCTGAAATATTACCTGCTTTATTACAGAGAAAAATAAGTTTCTTTTTCATAGAAAGCAGAAAGCTAGACATAAAAATAAAATACTTCTTAGGGCTTGACAAATGTGTACCACTTGCTTGCCTGTTAACATGACCACACATGGCAGTAGGCTGGCTAGCTGGGGAATGTGGCTGCTGTATTCTTAAACATCATAGCTTTTTTTAAGTTTCCTCTCCTTCTTGGTTGTATGCTATAGTTTTATCCTGCAGCAGTGTTCCCTTTTAAAAAGCAAGCTGATGAAGTGCTCAGTTGCTTAGAGAGAGAGAGAAGGATATCATTCCCTGAAAACTAACTACACAGAGATGTCTATTGAAATCTCTTGGCTGCACTTTCACCAAATTGCAGTTTTAAATATTCTTAGGCAGTGCTCTAAAGACTTCATTGTCCATGCTCTCCTACTAACTTTGACACAAATGGAGTACACATTTGGTTTCATTTTTAAACGGAGATATTGATAAAATCTGACCTGGTAAACCTTATTTGTTCCAGTAATCTGCAAAAAACACAAACGTGCAAAATCAGACTTTGGTAGTACTTTGAGGTATCCAGGTTTTGAACACTGAAGCAAAGCACTGGCCACCTTTCGATTGGTGGGTCTCAGGTTAGCTATAAACCTTACATTTTTTTAGATTTGAGGGGAAGAGGAATGTTTGGCAGGGAGTTGATGTTTCCTTCACAGAAAACAGCTTGTTTTGTAAAATCCAGTCTGAGGTGAGATGCAAGCTATGTAAGGTTTAAAAAGAAATAAGGAGAGCGAATTTAATTTAGAGTTGCTAAACTGATCAGCTGACTTTCAAAGATTGCTAGAGTGATCAGGTTTGTGGCTGTTTCCTCTAGCACCACTTATAAAGTAATTCAGAAAAAATGGGTGAGAAAAGGACAAACCTAGCAAGGAGCTAAACTAAGACTGGTTCTGATAGCGCAATCAACAGACCTTATATGAGTTAATGTGTGACTGCTGTGCTGAACATAGTGTAAGGCAGGTAGTCTCAGGCATTCCTAGCCTGAACTAAAGGAAGTAGCCAGTGTCCTGGGATTGAACCAAACTTTGTTTCTCAGAGGTTGCACAGAAAGTGGAAACAGTCTAGGAAGCCAAAGTGAGTGGTTATGCTACTGACACATAATGCTTAAGTGCCCTGTTTGGGGCTCTGCTGTAGCAAGGAGACTGCAATGCTGTTCACATATACCTTGTCCTTGTAGATTAGCAGGAACTAGATTTACAGCCTTACTAGTTCATTTAATTTTTGTTTGTTTCTTTAAGTAGCTTGTGTAGAAAGACTTTATAACCTGCAGTTTCATGGAGTATAAATTCTAATCTTTATTCTCAAGTCTTCCTGTAATGATGGTAGGAGGAGATTTATATTCATGTGTTGGGGGGAAGATTGCTTGATTATTTTGGCCTGTTTGAAAAAATCTGTGTACAGTATCGGGGGCCTGAAGGAAACAATTGAGGCTGCATTGATTTGGATCACTCAAAGGCTAACTACATAATAATCCTATCAGTAGATAATCCAGCTATGTTAGAAGGATATTTCCTCATCAGTTGCAGTTGGCGGGCTTGATCTTGATCTCATTTGTATGGTCTCCTCAACTTGCTAAGAGGAGTGAATGAAGATTGTTTTGCCAAAACACATTAACCTGGACTTTGTTACATGGTACTGAATCACACAATTTGCATTGACTGAGTTGTGTGTTTTAAATCTTGTGCCGCACTTTGAAAATGTAGGAATTATTCTGTGTCTAAGCAATGCTTTTATGCTCGCTCCCTTTTTAAAAGTCTCCAAATACCCACTCTGTACTTGTGACAATTAACATGTCTTTTTCTATAAAATACAATGTATGGATGTCCAATAAAATCCCTATGAACTGCATTTGTTGTGACCTCAGAGGATATTATTTTTAACTGTTAAACATTCATGTTCCATGTTTGTCATAGATATATGCCTTTCTCTCCAGTGGCAAGACAATTTTTCACCCTTTTTCACGATTTGGGCTACCAATTCCCCCTCTTATTTATTTATTGCAGGCCTTTCTACAGATATCGTGTAGAAGTCTCCTATTTTTAAAATGGTCAATAACAACTTGAAGTGGATATTTATATGAATAATCCTATTTGTTGCTTCAGTTACTTTATCTTTGCATTTGGCACTGTTTGATGTTTTTTCCTATAACTATAAAAGATATTTTGTCAGATTTTCACCAGATTTGCCTTTTTTATTACATTTGCTAGATTTTGTAGGGCTCTTTAAAATGCATAGAAAAATATTTTTCCTGTGTATGCCTGAATACAGTAAATATACACACAAGCAGTTTGGGTTCTAGGTTGTCAGTGTCCCATTGTCAAAATAAAAAACATGGTAGAAAGTCTATATGTGTAATATAACTGTGAAATAGTGTGGTTTATGGCCTGTAAATAAAGGGGAATTGTAAATATGATTTTCCCTGTGCACAAGCACTTGCACTGTAGTTTAGTACAGTAGATTTGTGTGTTTACTAGATTAACTGTAGCATACTGTTTTTTGTATAGTCTATACATTTTATGGAAATATTACCTGCTTTTCTGATTAGTGTTTATTTTTGTTTTCCAGATAGTCTGCATTTAAAATACATGTGACTTCTTTGTAGATTTTGATAGAATAGTAAGTACATAAGGAAACAAGCTTCAAACTGTTGAAATCTTAAGTATGCAAATTGAAAAATAAGTGTGTAAAGCAATTTTTATTGTCATTTCTAATCTCATGAGGCATGCAAAAATGTCAAGCAACTGAAAACAATTTTATTAAAATGAGTGTTTCTATATCAATAAATGCAGTAATGACTTTTTAGCATTGCTTCTGCATCGTGTGTTAAGAATACTTTGCAAAAATAAGTATTATCAAAACTACAAGAAGAAATTTCTGTTCTTAGAAAAGACAATTCTTAATGCCAAGCAATTATGTAGTTTACATTGATTTCATCTTAACCTGGAACATCATCTTCCAAAAGCAGCACAATTGGTGATCGCAAATCAGTAGCTAATGGAATAGTGGAAGATATGGTTGACAGTTTGGAGTGCACATGGAATTGGTATGGATTTAATAGTACAGCAATATACTGGCAAGCCAGTTTCCTTAGCTAGATCTTTAAAATGTGAACTTAATAGTTACCATTCAGGGCTTCTGTCTCACTTAGTACTGTGAAAACTCCATTTCAGCTTCAGATGAAATGGAAAACTAATCTTAATGCAGCAAGAAGAGTCAACTGCAGGTATTCTTCATTAGCAATAGATATATCTGTTGACCCTTAAGTTACAATATGATGATGTATAGATTTTCATCTTTATATCATCTGGGTTAGTCCAGACAAATGTGTGTGTGTGTGCGTGGAGGTAACATATCCTTCTCCGAATCAAAACAGTAGGATAGTATGTAAATATACAACTAATCCTTTCCGTTTCCATCCACTGCTTCCTAGAAATACTTTTTACTACTTTGAGAAGAGATGAATGTGCCATGTTCTACCTAAGGAGACCAATGTAATTATTATTTGTGTCACTGAATTCTTTCAAAAAGAAAGACTGTCTGTCATTAACAGGTAGGAAGAGTTTCTGAGAAGCACCTATTGGTTACAAGTAACTGATATTTGCCATTTTGTCTACTGTATGTATGTTAACATTTAAACTAGCTATCAATAAGAGTGTTTTTATGGCAGTTGCATTTACAATACATCCCAAATCTACATTTGACTAGAGCCCATGAGAAATATTTCAAAAGGCGTTGGAGGGAAGCTTTTAACAACTTGCATATGCTTTAACTCCACTTCTTTACTATGAAACGTTATCCAGGTAAAAAATGCATGCTATCACAGCTCCCCGGAACGTGTCAGACGCCACCAAGATGTTCTTAGTAAGGTGGAATTTTTGTTCCCTTCTGTTGAGTGAAATAGAGCATTTTTAAGCCAGAGACTTTTTTTTCTTTTTCTTTTTTTCTTTTCAAAACTGTAGTCCTGTGTCATTGGATGACAATTGGATATCTATTTATTTGTGGATATTTATCTATACAAAATATCTCTAAGCTGTTCCTTTTTGTGGTGTCTCATGTTACAAAACAAGTACAGTATTTCATAATGTCTCGTGGAGTAAGTGTATATTGTCTGAATTCAGAGTAGAGCTTCATGAACAATGTTATGTTAGAATTTGTTTTGCCATTGTATCCATTCTGGTCTCTGTGAGGCATTTGAGCGTGTGTAACAGTATACCAATTACACTGAAGTTGTGTAAGTAACTTCCATAATTAAACCAGAAAAGCTATGTTCAAATATCTACAGAAACTACTTAACTTGCCAAGCTTCGAAGTTCATTGATAATACCTGAAACTCCACTCAACCCAGGAAGATGCTCAGAAATGGAATGTATAGAGCTATACCATTCTCTTGTTATGTACCTGCAACTCCTGTTGATATTCATTTGAGTTGTTTGCTGCTCGAGGTAACCAATAGTATGTAAAATCAACCACTGTCTTGGGAATCTGATAATACTCAGGCTCAGCTGGGCTAAGGTCAGAATGTTTCAGGCTTACCCTTTGATTTTTGATTTCCTTTGAGACCTTGAGGCAGACCCTTAATATCATTTGAACATACTTCTTGTGGTTTAATTTCTTCTCTTATGGTACAGTACTATTAAACACATATAGGAAGGACTTGCGATGACTTAGTGATTTGTGTGTAATATGAATTACAGTGTACCCTTTAAATGCACGTTAATAATAGTATGTGTCTGCATGCCATGGATTTATAAGAGCCAATGTTGCAGTAATTATAGTTATGAAAACTAAATGCACATGCACAGTAGCTACTTCCTTACCAGGCTTTTATAACTGTATGTAGAGGGTTGTATGTAGTGGGCCTAGTTCACACTTTCAGACTGATAGGACTGTAAAATTTGTAATGAACAAAAATAAGTGTTAACTGAGGGGCGGGGTGTGTGTGTTTGAAATCTCTCAAAACAAGACCTTCTCTGTGAAAACCTGATCTTAGTGATATTAATGGGTGCTAATATAATAAATAATAGTTGACAAACAAAAAGTAATGTTGTTGTTCTTATACTGTTGATAAACTTGTTTTCCTCTTCAGATTTTGATTTTAATTTGTTAAAATAGAAGTGAGCTACTGTCATATATTAACAAGAGAGCTGGGCTCATCTCACTTGTTTAAAGATACTGCATCCCTGCCTATTTATTGATATCAAAGTTCTCGTTATTTCATTCCTTATTGTTTTTTGAGATGGCATAAGATTATATAGTGACTTCTAGTCACAAGAACTGATTTCTTCTCTTGATACCCCCAAAATAATTTTCATTGTTTAGAAGAAATAATGGAAAAATATTAATTTAGAATCAGATCTTTACTGCAGAATGTACTTAACACAGGCTAGTAGGTGCCAAAAATTATTTTTTCCCTTATAACCTCTCCTGCTTTGGTCTTTGTAGATGAAATCAATTTATAAATAAAGTGCCTTTAAGTTTTTGATATTTACATAATTCTTCCTTTGTTCTCTCCCCCCCCCCCCCCGTAATTTTATTTTAAAAAGAACAAGATATTACATGACTGATTTGTAGGTATACTAATTACTTTTTGCAATAAATATTGTTTATGAAACTAACTAATTTCACAGTTGGTTACATACAATAACAATCATGTATTGTGTCAAGACAATATGAATGGGAGCTCAGAGACATGGAAGGCCACACTTTTTTTGTGCTTGTAAATTATTGTTGCATAAATTGGTGGTACATTTAGGACCTGATCCTACAAACACAGCCAATGAGACAACTTGGGCATTAGTTGAATAATGCCAGTACTTTAGGCATTCGCAGAATCGAGCCCTCTTTTTACATGTACAAAAACGCCCTAGCTCTGGTAGCTGGGTGTCCAACTGGTGAATAACATCTGCAACCTATTTTGCTAGCAAAAGTGGTGATTCAAAATCTATGCTCTTGGGACTGAATTTTCAAAGGGTGACTGAAAATGTGCCTGCACTATTTCTGGATATTCTTTGTGGAGTATGCAGAAGCCAGTATTTGTGTGCCGTTTTTGGCAGACCCTTGCAATTGTAGTCCATTCAGATTGTTCAAATGCAAAGTTTAATGTCTTGTGGAAGGAGAAGAGATAGAAGCCCTCAATCTAAGCACAATAAATTATATATACCACTGATTTCAAAATATTTTTGTATGGAAGAGGGATGGGTTTTGGCCATTATTGGGCATAGAGTACAAGTATGTGCATTAACTCTCTTCTGTCACTCCCAACAGCGGTTAAGTTTCAAACTTTGTTTCCAGGACTGCACATTTGTTTTGAATATCATTTGATGCTGATGGACAAACAGGTAAATTAAATACATAAACAAAAGGGACCTATAATGGCTAGTGTTCCATAATAAAGACCTCAACAGCAACCTCTTTTCCAAACAGAAAAGACAAAATGAGTAGAAGACACTCATTTCAAACGTCAGCTTCATTTTCAAATGAAGGTTGATTTTTTTTTTTAAAGTAACTGTATGAATAGAATCTTCCTATTCAGAACTGTTCCCTGTGTGTGTAGTTATTAATGGTCCAGTTCTGCAGATGATAGCAACTGAGTGGACTGGTCTGTTTGCATATTATCTATTGCAGGATCAAGGCCCAAAATATGTTGTTACCCGAGCCAAGGCAGCTATAGGGAAAGTGCACTGAATTCAAGTCTGGCTTTAGCAATGGAATTCATTAAACTTTGATTGCAATGTCTTTGGGAGATGTGTGAGCCAGGAAAATTATTCATAAATGATCTGGAAAAAGGGGTAAACAGGTGGCAAAGTTTGCAGACGATCCAAAATTACTCAAGATAGTTAAGTCCAAAGTTGACTGTGAAGAGTTACAAAGAGATCTCATAAAACTGGGTGACTGGGCAACAAAATGGCAGATGAACTTCGATGTTGATAAATTAGGGTTGCCAATTTTGGTTGGACATATTCCTGGAGGTTTCATCACATGACATAATCTTTAATTAAAGATTAATCTTTAATTGCAGGAGACTTCAGGGCAATTCTATAGGGTTGGCAACCCTATGATAAATGCAGAGTAATACATGTTGAAATACATAATCCCAGCTATACATACAAAATGACTGGGTCTACATTAGCTGTTACCACTCAAGAAAGAGATCTTGGAGCCATCGAGGATAGTTGGCTGAAAACATCTTCTCAGTGTGCAGTGATAGTCAGAAAAGCTAACAATGTTAGGAACCATGAGGAAAGAGATGATCAAATAGAAAGTAGCATAATGCCACTCTATAAATCTGTGGTTTGCCCACACCTTGAATTCTGCATGCAGTTCTGGTCACTCTATCTAAAAAAAAGACATACTGGAATTGGAAAACGTACAGAGAAGGGTAAGAGAAATGATTAGGGGTATGGAACAGCTTCCATGTGAGGAGAGATTTAAAAGATTAGGACTATTCGTTTTAGAAAAGAGATGACTAATGGGGGGAGGGATTATGATAGAGATCTATAAAATTATTAATGGCCTGGAAAAAGCGGAGGAAGAACTGTCATTTACCCCTTCATGTAACACAAGAACCCGGGGTCACCCAGTGAAATTAATCAGTTGATTTAAAACAAACATAAGGAAGTACTTCACACAATGCACAGTCGACCTGTGGAACTCACTACTAGGTGATGCTGTGAAGGCCAAAAATATACCTGAGTTAAAAAAGAATTAGATAAGTTCATGGAGGATACATCCATCAATGGCTATTAGGCCATGATGGTCTGGGATGTAACCCCATGCTCTGGGTGTCCCTAAACTCTGACTGCCAGAAGCTGGGATGGAACAACAAGGAATGGATCATTCAATAATTACCCTGTTCTGTTCATTCCCTCTGAAGCATCTGGCACCTGCCACTGTCAGAAGACAGGATGGCTAGTTGGATCATTGGTTCGACCCAGTATGGCCATTCTTATTTTCTTAAAATCAAACTGGATTTTTTAAAGGTTCCAAGCTCATAGCTGATGGTTAGAAAAACCATATTACTTTAGTAACCTGAAGAAACTTGATCTAGAAGACACTGACAAATGTGGGACATTTCTTGGCCTTTTTACAGTAATTTTTCAGAGTAGAACTGCACCTAAGTACTTGTTATAATGCTATACTGCTCCAACAGATTTCAGTCTGATTGGAAAGAGAGGAGGTGTGGAGCCACCACAGAAAGAGTCAGAAGAATACATGCCATTCAGGGCCTCAAGACTTCAATCAGAATCTTGTTGCTTTATTTTATAAATCCCAAAAAGGAAGGAATTTAACTTGTTTCAATTAGAACTTCAAGCTGCCATTAATCTGAGGCTATCTGCTCTTTGGATGCCAGCAGTTTGAATTTCATGAAGACTGAAATGGGTATTTTTTAGCCTTTCACAGTATGTAATCACGAGGGATTTTTGTTGGCCACTAGAGGTCACTCTGTTCATAAACAAGAATCAAGTCTACAGAGTAAAGGTGGAAGACTTCCAGCAAATTTGCCTAGTTTTCAAACTGGTGCCAATGTAAACAGACAAAAAATTGCTTGAGGGTTAGACCAGAAACCTGGTGTAAAATGTCTCCTTTTTCTGGCTGGGAAGTGAATGACTTTTAACATCAACTATAAGATTACCACCTAAAAGGTTTGGTCAGATATAATGCAGCAGCCACAAACTATTATAGTACAGTTGGTTCATTGTGCCTCTGCGAAGAGAATTACAAATAGTGTGTATGTGTCTGGGGGGAATTATTTTGGTAACATTCTGGAATATATTATCTAAACCCTGGTTTGGAAGGTCATTAAGTATGGGGAAATGGCTTTAAAAAAAAAAAAAAAAAGCAAGCCGGCAAAAAACCCCAAACGTAAAATGCTCAAATAATATAAAAGGCTTGGGGACAGAGGGAACCACAAAAAGCAAGGAAATACAGGATGAAGACTAAAACTCCATTAACTCATTCTGGCATGCTTGCATTCTGTAACACCTATGTCTGTAGCCTAATGTTGAGAGAATCTGTTATGGCTAGAACGCCATCCTCAGTCCCTGGTTTCCTGGGTTTTGAAGATTTAAATCAGACTCTTGTTAATTATGTTGTTGTCATTTTAATTGTATTTTACAGTTTACAAAGTGGAAACAATTACTGACTTAAAAAGAACTTTCAGTGGATCCCGCAGACAGAGAAGCCTGGAAATTTGCCATGTTCAGTGTTCCTGAAATAGCCCTATCCACTAATGAACTTTCATGCTTAATACACAAATTTAAAACTGCACATCGCTTTTAAAAATCATTGTGAAACTTCTAGACTCCAAGTTTAAGCTTTTTATAAAAGTCTGGATGTCCAGTATGAAGAACCATTCGGTCTTCCCTTCACTTCTGAATTTTCTCATACAATGCAAAACATGGCCGCAGGGGGTTGAATTTCCATAATTTGGATGGTTAGTATCACTATTTCCAACTCTGGGTTCATTGTGTTACTTTATACAATAAATAAAAGGCAATTTTAAAAAATGCCTTTATCCATTAGCCATATTTTTTTACATGTGGGGCATGGCATCCCATCAACAAAGCATTTTATTAGTTGATCAAATTAGTCCATATTGCAACAATCAGAGAATCCTAGAAATGAGAGATGGGAATGACTAGTTAGGTCATTTAGTCCATTTCACTCTTGCATTTCTAGTCTGTGCTGGATTGCTCCTTACAATACTGTTTATCTTCAGGTTATTTATCTTAGTTAGCCACTAACTGTATAGAACAAACCCACCACTATATTTAGCTGAATATTGCTGATTTATTTTGTTATTTGTAGCACCATATGAAATTGGGGACCCACTGCACTGTACTCGTGGTGCTGTGGCCACGCTTTATTTTTAGCGTGCCAGCTCAGAGGTCAGAACAAGCGCAGTCTCCTCCAGCTGGAATTTACATCTCCAGCTTGAAGTGTAGACCTACCCTAAGAGACAGAGATTAATACGTGACTTTCCCAAGGTCAGGCAGAATAAGTTAAACCCAGCTCTCCTGAGCCCTGGGCCAGTGCTTTAGCCACAAAGCCATCCTTTCTTTCGCCTCTACAAAGCTGACTTTACCAATGTCCGAGAGCTGTTATTTGCACTTTTAAACAAATGTAGAAATGTGCCAAAGAGGAACGTGAGGAGTTAATTTACTATTCCAGCTGGGAGCCAAGGCGGGAATAAATCAAAATCAATTGTGGGTGACTGTGTACAAACTCTTAAATGAGGGTGGGGGAGCAGTGTGATCTCAAACAATGTACATTATGGCAGAGGGGGTGGAAGGTTACACTGTCAAACTGCCTTAATTTAATTGAAAACACATGTTGATGAGTCCCCTCCTCCTGGACCTCAAGGCTGGGAAATTTTTTTGTCAGCTCCCTGCAGTTCAGAATCGGGGAAAGTACACTCCAGCAAACACAATGCTGGTCAAATCTACAGTTGTTCCCGGCTTCTTGCTTTTTCTTCTCTTGCCTGATTTCTCCTGCTCCTGTCCCAGCCGCTGCTTGTGCTTTAGGACTACAGTAAGATGCATGCATCTGATGCTGGAAAACATCCCTGAAGTCCCACCTCAGACAAACATATTGTAAGTAGCTGATTTCATTTTACTGCTTATTTTGCATGATCAGCCTTTGAGGAGAGGAAAGAAAAGCCATGCTTTCTACACCTTGCTTTTCCTGCAGGAATGCCTGTATTGCAAAAGCCTCACCTCTTCAGAGATTGTCTCACTTAGCATCAGTTAATGATATTTAACTGGACACCTACAGGAAACTAAAAAACAACTAAGATCACAAGAAAATGATTTTTGAGTCTCCAAAGCTAATCCCTAAGCAGGGTTTGTTTAAAGGAAGATGATAGATCACCTTTTACTATTGGAGAGAAAGCTTTGGGGAAATGGGGGGGCACTGGGTGTTCTAGTTTTGTGTATGCAAAGAAACGGTGGTTTTGTTTCTTGCTTATAAATGCAACTCCATTCCCTTATCTACTTTTTCCTGTAGGTTCTTACTTTCCAGACCCAACTGGAGGAAGGGAGAGGGGAAGAACTGAAGGTTTATTTGGGATGCCAAACAATAGTGATAAACCTTATACATTCTTGAAAATCCACTGGGTTGATAGTACTTTTTTGGAAGGGGGTTACAGTGGGGAAGACTATGAATTGTTGGCTGTGCCTATTTCAGTGGAAGATCTGAGTAACAAAAAGAGAGGGAGTTCATGTAGCCGTTTGAGGCCAATCTGGGGCTTCTGTAGAACTTCTGGTAATAGATGTGGAAGAGCAAACTTCCTATGCTTTTAAGGAATGGTAAATTCTAAAACTCCAGAATGGTTTTAAGACATATCTGGCCCGTACCGAAGTATCTTTACACATGTTATCCAGATATGATTTCTTGGTTTGGAGGAATTGGGCAGTGTCAAAAGCAGACAGGAAATTGTTAAAGATGTATAAATAGTTTTGTTCTCAGTTACGTTGCTGTTGATTATGGAGTTTGTTCAAATTAACTAGCTGAGGATCACTTTCATGTGACTCTAATGGACCAAATTCTGATCTCAGCTGGGGTGTCTATCTTAGCTTTTTCTCCCTAAAATTTTTCCACTGTTGTTACTAGTGCAGCTTTACTACTGGCAACAATGGGACCACTGCAGGAGACAGTATGCCATCAGCCACTGGCATTTTAACCACTATGACATATTCCCGCTCTGAGAGTGGTTAGACAATACAGTGGTTCAAATGTTAGCAGTTCACATTACTACTACTACTCCTGGTGCTACTCCTGGTACTTTTTGCATGTCTAAAAGTTTTAAAAATCTAGTTATTTGGGTTCATGTGACAGGCAAAGGTAGCAAACTACCGAGATCTGAACGGAATTATTCAGGCTTGGGCCCAGATGTCAAATTAAATAAGAGCCATCCCATTTTGATGTATATTCCTGCACTGCGTTTAATATTTCAGACACCTTCTGAGGAAGATTTGTGGCTCAATCGAATGTGGTCCATCTAATTAAAAGCAAGGTTCATATTGATAAATCTTTATGGATTACCTGAGCCAAGTTAAATATTCTCTGTTGTTCATAGATCACTGCAAAGATATACAAATAAAAAAATACACTGGCTCTCTGGCTGTCCTGAGGATTTTATTATCTAATTGAAATACATAGTCCTAAGAGGCGGCTTTCTGTTTTATCTGTTATAAAAATGTTTAATAATTCACATGCTGTTTAAAAGTTGCCAGCGATCAAAAGGTACATCTTAAAAACGCCAACTGTTCCAGATTTTTATGACACAGTCATACTTCTTCCTCTCAGGCGAAGGCACACTGCATCTGTGTGAGCATCCAGAGGTCTGGCAAAATTAACAGCCAGATCATGAAGTTCTTATTTGGAGTAAAAAATATGGAATTATGTTCATATCTCATAAGTCATAGTTTGATATGAACAGACCGTACTGGTACGAAATACAAATACGAACACCCAGATCCTGGGCCCCAGCTCTATCTGTGCTGCTATAAAATCGAAAGCAGCTGCAAGTCCCAAGATGGGCATTCCTCTGATGGAAGCAGTGATGGGTGGTGTAGATCCAGTGTAGCTGGCTCCAGTGCCACTCTCTCTCTCGAGCACCCAGTGTAGGGAAGTGGGAGGAATTGTGGCCAGCACAGACTGTGCTGCAGCAATCTCCTGCTACAGGATGGCCCTTAGGGAGCTTTAGCCAGCTGGTGTAACTTAGAGCAGCCCTTAGCCTGATATAGGTGATCCCAGGACTGGCTTAGAACCATCCCCAGGATTGATAAGCTGTTACTGGCTCCTTTTGATTCTCATCCCCCGCAGCTGGGTGCAGCTGAGGATCTGGCCCAGTGTCTGGCTTTAGCAATGGAATATTTGGTAATGAAGTCTGTTCATTTTATTCTGAGTATGGAACATGATGGCAGTAATGGCTACATGTGTACAGATAAGTAAGCTATAAAAATGCGTGATGTATAACTGCAAATGTATTTTGGCCGTCGTCCATTCCACTGGAACGGGATTTGCCAGATGTGATTTGTTGGTTACCGCTGGGACTAAGGCGGTTCGTTTAGCCAACAGCCCAAAGAAGGCAACAGCTGTGAAACATACACGCCGAAAATTTCAATAGGTCTTTAACCTTCTAAGCCATTTGTTTTATAGCATGACATTTCCAACCATAAACTATGAAACATGTTGGTATGGGGAGAAGGCACCAGTGGGAAGAAGTTCCCTGTAGCTGGAGGCTAATGGATTCCAATCATATTATACATGGATTATTCTCCTTTGCATTATATGTAGAGCTACTTCTGAGTTATGTGCTACAAAATTTAACTCCGGGTACGAGAAAAGAACATGCAGCATCTGTGACCTGAACTCGTTGCTGGCATGAATTGAAGATGATCCAGTCAGTCCACCTCCCTTTCACGGAGTTTGTCACTAATTATGCATTTTCTGTGTCTGTCCAATCTGACAAATTTTGCCTTCCCTCGCTGTTTTGCAGCATACTGTCTCAGCTGCTGTTCTCCTCCCCAGACATGGCTGCATTTAGTGGACGAATCATGTATGCATGTAGTTTGTGAAACTCTTTGGGATCACTGGGGATAAAAGTTGTGATATAAAAATTTAGCATATTTGCCTTAAGAAACCATATTGAGCAAATGTGTCCTTGTTGGAAGTGCTGCTCCATTCACGTTGTTTCTATCCTCCTGCCCAAAATTTCTGTTGCACAGGTGGACTGGGCGGAAGGTGGGGGAATTGAGCAGTTAACGTCCTCTCGGTACATTACACATATATGTTTAATACAAAGTGTTATCTCTTTCCAGTTCATCCTCTTTATTTAGGCTATGTAAATAGCCCTCAGAATTAAACCCTTCAGTGTTGATCAGAATTTTCTCTCTGAAAACCTCAGTTTATCAGAAGGAAAATAGGAAAATTATTCAACAATCACCCTTTTCCCTTGGGAAGCACTTCTGCATCTTTCAAATGAGATGGAAAATCTTATGGTGACGAAGATCCCAAGATGCTCTTTGTAAGGGCAGTGGTTACCAAATTCTAACTTGGGTACTTGTATTCTGCCTCACTACTCCACCTCTGCTCTGCAATTTCAGCAGAATCTTCTTTCCTCTTGCTGTCCTGAAATAAAGCATAGAATTTCTGTGTGCTGTTTATAGAGCTGCTGCATTTCCTCAGAGAGGTGGCAGTGTTACAGTAGTGGGTGGGTGAAGCAAACCATCATCTTTCTCTAAGCAAGTGCCTCTATTTGCATGTGTATGCACAGGCAGAGTAAAGATCTATGGGCTGTGGCTCGAAACAAGCTGAACAGATTCTAATGAATCAATATAAAGGCATGCAGCAGCAATTCATCTTAGACTAAGAAAGTCTATGTCTCCTTGTTGGACCCATTGATGGGGATAAATTTACCTTTGTGCTTCTGAAACTTCCTTTTGTTGCTCCTGGGTCAGATTCGGTGCATGTTTTCAGGAGCTCAGGAGGAGGGGAGAGCTGGCTTTATTTGATTTGGGCAAAGTCTGAAGAGTCAACATATAGGCAAGATCCAATGCATTGAGGGAGCCCTGCTGCTTGCTGACATGAATTCCGAGAAGAGGCTGATCTGGTTTGATTAGGATCAGACTGTAATCTCCTCCCTGCAGAAGAGAGCCCCTAGCTGCTGTTCTCACTTAATAGATCAAATTATCTGGGATCACTTGGGTCAGCAGTTGGCCGTGTAATCTGCCAATTTGAAAATCTGTCTCAGGGCCAAATATTTATTCTTCAGACATCTTTTCTCCTCTCCATTCTAGCCACCACCAATGAAATTGTGGCTCTCTACCCAAAGGTGCAATCAGCAGAAGTGTTGGGCTAAGAGTAGGCTTTATGCACTAGCCCACCTCAGGTTCCCCAACGATAATTCACATAGTCTTCATGCATTTAGCCACAGAAAGAGCAATGCAAAGGGAAATCCGCACACAATCACAGGTTGGAATAAACAGGGAGGCACTCAATTCGCAAACCAACAGAGGAATCAGCTGTTTTCCTTGTACATAATAGGCCTATTCTCATTCAGTCTCTGTGGCATCTGTCCACCCCAAAATAATTGGGAAGATGTCATACATTATTTGCTGTATTACTGTTTTATGCGGATAAAATTCAGGGCACGATGCAAATAATTTCTTCATCTGCTGTCACTAGAGATAGGCCTGAACTGTAACCCCCAAATCTGATCTCACAGACAGGTTCTGGGCAATTTCAAATGTGGGTCTACACTTCATTCCTCAGGCATATCTCTACTTATGTTATGGGGCAGTATCACTTGATTTGGTCTGACATGCTGTAAACCAAGTCAGACCCCGATCTAATTCCCATAAGCCAAAACCCAATTGAAGTTTTTGTGCCATAGCTATATAGCAGGCCTCACAGTTAAATAGCACATCTGCTAGTTAAAAGGCACTGGGAAATGTAGGGTTCTACCTACCAGAACCTTCTGAATGTTCCTGGCTATTAGCCTCCACTCTTAAATACTCTGTCTAATGTCAAGTGTCTCCTGTGATGCAAGAAAAATGTATTTCCAGGAGACAGGGTTCAATAAAAATAGCCAGATCCCCAGAGGGTGTAAATCAGCGTGATCCATTGATGTCAACTCTGTATTAGAGATTGTTCTAACAACAGTGTTAGTGCTAGACTGCAGCAGTGTAGTGAGTAACTGAGTGGTTCTATCAAGGGTGAATTGTGCTATGGAGACACCATGCTTTTACCCAGATTCATTATAAATCACTGAAGTAAGACATAATTAAAAATATCAAATTGTCTTTATTCAAATGACCACAAGAGCACTCCATTATCCTTAGCAACGCCAACTGTATCTCAATGTTTTCAGGTGCTTTGGCCAGTCTGGGGTGTTGAAGACCAAGGCAAGCCAAAGTGTTAATGGTACGAAAGGAAAGTGAAATACATTTTTAGTTACTATTGAACTAATTCCTAGAAATTCTGTGTTGTGTGGGAAACTGAGCGAGGTGGTTCTGGCCTGAAATGCCATCTTCTGTTTAAACGGCTGCCACCTCATCACACTAACATCCACAGACCAGGGCCAGATTTCCAAACGAGCTCCGCATATTGGCTGCTGAGTTATGAAATTCTTGTCCTAAGTGTCACAATGGGAGCCGCTGGGAGAATCTGGCCCCAATTGTGGGTGCGGAGCACAGAACATCTGGTGCTGAGCAATTTGGGAAGACTGGCCTCAGGAATGGCTCCGGATTTTAATTAAAGTGTTACCAGAATTCCCCTCTCTCTGTATAACCTTAAAGTTAAGCCGTCCAGCAGTAAATACAAAAGAGAAGAACAGCTGGCTCTATAGCGCAAGGCTCTCAACACTGGCTATATTTGAATTTTCCTGCATTTTCATCCTTAAATGTAATCTGGTTTACTGATACTTGCCACCTAAAAATATTTCCCCTTGTCTCACAGGCCTGGTCTACACAAGAAAGTTGCACCTGCCTAACCTCAATCTATTTTTAAACCAATTTAGATACACTGAGGCCTGGACACTTATTTTGGTGTGAGGGCCTTATTCTGGTTTGGCATAAACAGATGCCTAATTGACTTAAACTAAACCATATTAATCCTGGTTTAAACCAAAATGGGCATCCATGCACCCATTTTACTAAATGAGCTTAAATTAGCACCGTTCGCTAAACCAGTGCAACTCTGCAAGGCCTTGGAGGCTTAGGGTGTGTCTACATCAAAAGTTGTGCACAGGATAGCCCGCTCAAGCTAGCTTGAGGCTTAGGGTGTGTCTACATCAAAAGTTGTGCACAGGATAGCCCGCTCAACCCAGTTGAGATCGCACAAGCTGCAGTGCAGGTTAGCAAGCCAAATATGTACCCAAGGTTCACGTTGGGCTTGTTCCGCCTACAGTGTCTTCACTCATACCATGGTGTGAGCGAGCTGGATTCAAGCTTGCTCAGGTAGACTAGCCCATGCTTAGCTTTCACTGTGCGGATGTATCCTTAGAGGGACAGATCCTCCGCTGGTATCAATGTTCATAGCGCTAATGAATGTTTAATTAAGAGCTCTTCAATGCTGAGTAAAGTTCAGCCCTGTGCAGAGGGGCAGCATAAGGACTATACAACGGTTGAGTCTCCCTGAAATGGTACTTTAACTGCATTTGCATCCAATGGCGTCTGCAGGTACTCAGCCCCTTGGACAGTCAGGCCCTAGTATCTCAAATGGGGCCACCCCACAATTAGCAGCCATTTTGGAAAACACAGCTGTTAACCTCCCCGTGCCTCAGTTTCCCTAGCTGTAAAACGGGGATAGCAATGCTCATCCACCATTGGAAATCACTCTGAACTCTAGAGATGAAAGTGAACTGAGGTGTGCAAGTGGCCGCCTGAGCTAAGAAGCCAAGAACTGAATGAGCCGTGAAGACTCCGTTTTCATCTGGCCCAGCTTGTTTTCCCTTCGTGGCAGGGCTAATGCCCATTGGCAGGTCAGTGCAAGTTGCACTGCTGCCGCTCTTGTCCTGGGGCTTAATTGAAGAAGTCAGTATCCAGGGACATCACTCAGCCTCTTTCTGCCACCAAGAAGTTCATTTAAAAACAGTGCCTAATTGCTCCCTCCCCCAAGAAAGGTCGGGGATAACCCCCGTGTCCTAGCCATTAACTCTGTTGGTAAAACAGCCTCTGCTGTCATGTCTTTGCTAATAACAGATGGGCAGCTGAGATCTGCTCAGCCAGTTCTGGGGTGAATGGTCCCAGAACTACCAAAATCTAACCCATTGCTGCATAAAGCACCTTGCGTGTGAAAGGTGTTACATTAAAGTAAATTCAGTGCTAGCAATAATTTCTGTGGCATTGCAATATTCTTGCAATAAATGACTTGCAGTTGGTTAATTGCCTAGGTAACCTAGTGATGTGTATGTGTAAATGCATAAATTGACTAAATACAAATGAAAACTGATTCCCGAAGCCATTGATTGCTTTGTATGTTCTCATTGTTAATGATTCAGCATACTGATTTCGAGAAGGATTATTCTGCTGACAGCTGACAGGATCAGAAACAATACAACATAATTCCTCAGGTTGGACTGTTACTATCTGATTTCGAATCCCCTTGTTATCATCCATCATTCTTCATGCTTCCCCGGGTGAACTTCACTGGGGAAGGTGTGTTGGTATTTCTATGGCAAATGCGAGATTATCCATGTATTTCAACCCAGTCTCCCGGTCCTAACTACGGCCCTTTACAGCAGTAAAGGCAAAATTTGCCATAGCACATTGGACAATCGAAGGCGCCAAATGGATGCACGTTCCCTGTAGAATTGTTTCTACTTGTTTACTTAGCACTTATTTTATTATCTAATAAGCAGTCAACATGTAATGTTTTAGGGTCCAAGTCAGTGCAGTTACACAGAGAGCCCTTTAAGTTTGCGACAATGGACTCTGCTAGTTCTAAATTAAATGGCACAAACTGAAAATGCAGAATGGGAGAAGCCTTTGAGTCCGGCAGCATTTTGGAGCTAATTTGAAATGCTGACTGTATGAGGCTATTCGGTCAGATTTGACCATTTTAGGGCCAAAATTTTGGCCCTGAGCTTTAGTGAGAGTGTCCGCAAAACTGTGTGCATGCTTGTATACACTAGCATGTGCAGCTCCATTTCAGGCAATGTGTTTGCAAAGACAGTGCATGCACACATGAGGGAGTCTGCCTGCAAATGTAGGGTTTCATGTGTGCTCCTCTGTGCACCTGCAGCTGGAAACTTGGCCTCAGTGCCCATTTGGAAATACCGAATCCTTGTTATGAGTCTCTAAAAATACAGACCCACCTGCATTCTGGCAACGAGGGGCAAAGTTTATGCTTTAGTTAGGTTTGCCCAAGTTGCATGTGCAGTTACCACATTTTGTGCATGCAAGTTTGGTAATTGCGCAGGTAATCACAGAACATTAACCACTAGCAATCAGAGCAATCGTGTGTTACAAACTAGTGCAATTGATCACCTGACTCCTTTCAAAATGTGGCAACTATGTGTCAGATTCTTAAGAAATGAAGGTGGAGCTCATAAATCTAGGGAAGCTCAGACTGCCTCAGCAAACAGTGGTAGCCACTCTATCATCCCAGAAAGGATTCTTCATCTGATGTAGTTTCTCAGGCTCCTTTAGTCCTGACATGCTGAGGTCTAAAGCACCAGGACAGCTAATGATGTTCGTTGCTAATGGATAATCTCGCTCTCAGGTGTACACTGACTGATATCCTCTCACTTTCAGGGATTTACGCTTCAATCGCATCAAAGAGATTCAACCTGGAGCCTTCAGGAGACTGAAGAACCTCAACACACTGTAAGTTGCCCCCATCTTAAAAGGCGCCCAATTGTAGTGTGGTCGTGGTACGGAGAATGGAAGGAATCAGAAACATGAGACCCTCTTGGTTTTGCAATGTAATTCTCGCTTTTAGAAATTAAAGGCATTATTGGAACACTGCAAGTAACAACTCCAGCATGTTCAGTCATGACTTAATTTCCTCCTAGCCCCCACGAACCAAGATAGCAGCATAATATCAAAACAAGATAACTTAGCATGAAGATAAAGATGCAGGTCCACCTGTTGGTGGAGATGCTGTCTGCCCCGATCATTACAGGAACCAAACGGGTAGTTTAGTGCCAATGTGACAGGCACCATTCTCTGGGCTGGGGGAGCTTAGACATATAATGGACTAAAGATGTTTGGGTTAGATAAAGAGTATGTGCCACACGTCTAACTGCTATATAAATGCATTGGCCACTCCTTCTAATGGCTTAGCGAAGATATCAGTCCTGTGGGTTTGTTCAGCTGTGGGATGCAGCTAAATTCTCTGCATAAAATTTTCCCCCCAGTCCAACCCAGGCAACATTTCTTATCATTTTCAGTGAAAGCTGGAGTTTAATGACTTCCATTTGAGCAATGAAACTGTCTTTTCTCGTGGTGCATCTTGCCAGCTGCCTAGGACACGTACAGCCAGTAGAGCTTAGAGAAGCCCCTAAGGACAGTTTTGGCCTTGGCTGACCCAGGAACAGACGAACAGAGCAGTGGCTTAAAGCTATCTTTTTTCCCCCCCTTGCCTGCCTCAGCTACACAGCTGAAGACCAGGATACCCTGTGCACATACCACTCTTGGGTGGTTACCCTCCAGTTACTCTGTGATATTCTGTAACCCTAGTGTGAGATGAAGAACCAATATCCACATACTATCTTTGCCTTCACTAGCTGCACTAAAATAAGTGTGTTCTGCCGAGCTGCTGGTGCTCACTCCAACTCTAGCATTCCCCATTGCTGCTCCTAGTGCCGGTGGGAATTCGAGCAGACCACAATCCCGTCACTATATTCTTACCTCTGAGCCAGAATAGACCTTGCTACTTGTTCCACTGGGTAGGACTGACCTTAGTTTGGTTTGGGGGGCCTTTATTGTAACAGCGCATGTTTTGCATTGTAGAGATCTCTGGTTCCTATTAATATTTGACCTTTTGTACTTGAAGCGTCGTTCTGGGGCTTGCTAGTTTATAACATTCAGGAACGGGGACTCCATATTCTTTGGCCTCTGACAATACCCATCGGTTTATTAGAGCCTTCAGCAAGATTTGCTACTGAACCATCCACTAACAACCTCCCCCTCCGTACTTGAATTAAAGGAAATTATAGAAGCCTTTGTTGTAGTTGTAATGAATACCAGGAGGAAAGCTCCAAGTGCATTTTTCAGAATGACTTTGTGGCCAGGTTTTTGTGTTCTTGGATCTAAACTTAAAAAGAAAACCTCAATCAGATTCCCAGTCTGGCCTCTTGAGAAGCCTAAACTCTCCAATCTAGAGAACCAGGGTAGTGAAAGGATTGTGGCAGAAAGATCCATGCAAAAAGGATTTCAGTTTAGTTTGTGAGGGGAGGCTGCCTGTGTTCTTAGTGCCTAGTGTCTTTATCAGAAAGAACCACTTCATTATTGACTTGGTTTGTTCCAAACCACATGCATCCTGCAGAAACCTTCCTCTAGAGGTTCTGAGCCAGAGCAAACCAGGTGGAAAGGAAAGAGGTTTTCAGCCAGCCTTGGATTATGGACATCAACCAACTCTCATGATTTTATTGAGAGTCTCGCAACTGGTACTTGCATCTTTCCTACAACCCCATCTCGTAGAATCAAGGGATTGCCTGAGAATCCAGGCCCCACATTTCTATGATTCTATGAATCTCTACTTCTTCTTTTTTTTGTTGTTTTTTAAGTTTCTAGTCCTCATGGTTGCATGAAAAATCTGGAACCCGTGAAGAAAATGTATTCTAAAGGCTCAGAAACCAGCAGACAAATAAAATGAATCTGAAATGTATTTTTTTTGAACAATCTCATGATTTTTAACTAATCTCATGATTTGGAGGTGGGGGTCTGGCTGGGGATTTTTAAGTGCTTTCTGCTTGGTTGGTAGCCATCTGCTAGACATGGGTAAGCATGCAAACCCCAGACTTTTGCTTGGCAGTTGCATAGCTGGGGCCTCAGTGCCCATTTTGCAAGATGGCTTTTGCAGATGCAATCAGTTGAGCAAACACAATCAGAGTATGGGGCAGGTGTTGTCCACAGCAGGTCCTGCATAAGGGGTGAAGTCAACACCGAACTCCTTGTTCTTCTTGACTGTGTTGTAACAAGAGGCTATTGGTACAGGTTTGGGAGCTAGAACTAGCTCTTTCTGGCTGTGCCACTGATTTGTAGTGTGGCCTTTGGAAAGTCCCTTAACCTCTCTGCCTTAGTTTCCTCATCTGCAAAGTGGGAGCAGGAATCGCCATTTAAGTACCGCTCACCGTGTTGTGGAGATGCTTGTAAATGTGAAGTGCCCTACAAGTGCTAGGAAGCTTTTAGGGTGGGCAGTCTTGGCTAGAAACAAGTCCTCAAATCCTTCATCCAACCCCTCCTCCCACAGAGAGTAACGTACCACTGGGAGGATTTCGGTCGAGGGCTGGCAGCAGGAGTGTGTGTGTGGTTGTATAAGGACGTGGGATGTGGCTGCAGGCAGCAACCGTCACCCTCCACCTTGGAAGGTGAGATGACCGCACTGCAGAGGATGAGCTGCAGCCTGCACCTTGCAGCAGGCCCTGGGTTCGCTTGTTGGCATGTTATGGAAAGTTTAAATACATATTTCTGAGTTGTTTAATACCAGCTCTCATTGTTGTAATGCAAAGAACATCCCAGTGTCTGGCTATCATTTCACCCTGAGGTGGAAACAGCAGATTTTGACTGAGTAAGCCTTATGTATATTACTTAGAAGACATGGGTCGGACCAAAAACCTGGGATCCCAGCACTTGGACAAAGTTTGGATCAGGGTCCAGGTTTTCCAGCCGAGTTTTAACTCTCTAATGAGCCAAACCAAAAGCCCTGGATTCAAACAGACCCTTCGAACTTCCTCCAAAATTTGGATCTGATAGTTGGGGCTTTCTCCCATCTTTACTGTAAATAAATCGTTAGGTTACTGGACTGGGATTCAGTCTGGTAGCAGAGGCCCCAATGTGCAGTGTACTGTATAAACATGCCCTGAGAGACCGTCCCTGCCCCCAAGAGCTTAGTCTATAACGACAAGGAATGGGAAGAGGCACAGAGATTTCACCACGGGCCACAAGGCAGGTCACTAGCAGAACCAGGAATACAGCCCAACTTTTCTGACTCCCAGTTCAGTCTCCTAGCCACTGGACCACTGAGCTCAGTTCTCTTGAGTTCACTATTAATCTCTCTCTGCCTCAATCCCTATCTTGTAAAAGGGGGATAATCTGATTCCTTTCTCTGGCCCTTTGTTTTATCTCTACAGATGGTAAATTTTGGGGGCCAGGGACTTCATCTGCACCGCAGCCAGCACAATGGGGCCCCGATCTTGGTTGGACTCTGTAGGCACTGCTGTAATACAAATACAAAATCACGAGAGTGTAATTTTTTATTCCTATGTGTTAACTGCTCTGTGCTAAGCAAGAGAAGTTGTTCGTTCTCGTTCCAGTTCAATTGCACTCAGTGGAAAGTATTGTCATGGGGCTGCTTTTGCTTAATTGAGCCATCTTGTTTATACTTTAATATAAGATCTTCTGTTATCTAGCCCAGCCAAGAAGCCTGTTGTACATTGGATGAGGGAGATCCTGGCAAGATAAGACAGTGTTACAGTGTGTGTGTTTGCCTCGGTCAGAAAAATCAAGCAATCTGCCACATGCTTCCCCCTTTGTGGAGCATTGGGAGCTAGTATGTTTGGAATTAACATGATGCAATCATTAAATATTTATATATCCTAGGATCTTATCCAAAGGCCAGTGAAGTCAATGGATAGACTCCTGTTCGTGCTGGTACCATGTAGCTATTTACCCAGGCCTGTTCCTAATGGGAACTGGAGCTGAGTAGTTGGCTTAGGTTTCTGGGCTCTTAATAGCCCTGGATAGGTGGATCAATTGTGTGAATGACAGGGTTGGAGGAAGTGAGCTCTGATAGCCAGAGCCAAACGCAGTGCAAGGTCACGTCCCACCTTACGCAGAGCTTGGTTGTCCTGAGTTCTGACCTGCGCTGTTCTAGTCCTTGGCCTTACTAAGAAGAGCTGGCATTGCTTGGCGCCAGCGTAGGTACTGTGGAAGCTTCTTCTATTCAGCTCTACCAGTGCGCCAGATTTCAGTGCTGCATGGAGAATGCTGGTAATCCAGCTCTGTGCTTGAGGACCTGTAATTGGGCACCGATTAATTTCACACCCGTCACATGCCACTACTTGTGAGATACCCACAATAGCTCTCAATGCTATCCTATTATTTGTTGGAGCATCTAGAACCCCAATTAATGTCTGCAAGGCCGGCTCTGGCTTTCTGGCCACCCCAAGCAAAAAAAAAAAACCCTGCAGCACGGCCGGAGCGTGGGTGCAGGGGGACTCCCTGCCCTGCAGATGTGCCCCAGCTAGCGGGGGGAGGAGGAGGGAGCGGGGGCAGAAAGAGAAGGGGGGCGGCCAGGGCTTCAGCGGGGCGCTGCCACGCAGCCCCTCCCGCTGTGCCCCCTGCCGGGAGGGCTCTGCACCGCTCCGGTCGGCTGGGAGGGAAGGACGCGGGCTGCCCTGCCGGGCTTGCTTCAGGGCGCTCCTGTCCTCCGCGCCGCTGCCCCCTACAGGGCGGCCGGAGCAGAACCAAAAAAAAAAAAAGTGGCCGTGGCGCCCTAGGATTGGGCGGAATGCCGCCTCCTACAAGCTGCCGCCCCAAGCACCAGCTTGCTCGGCTGGTGCCTGGAGCCGGCCCTGAATGTCTGGGGCACCCATTGTAGAGACACCTAATGAAGGGGCAGTCCCTGGTCCAAAGAGCTTCTAGTCTGGCAAAAGACAACG